GAATTAAGTATTGTTTTCGTGACTACCAGTAAATCAGTAATATGAGATGTACTCACCCAATTTCGTTTAAAGTTATGAAGGACTGGTAGAAGAAGAATTTTCCCACAATGATATGAGCTAAGCTGACGTTTTTATTGAATTTGACATAGCATTGCTTTCTCAAAAGTTTTTCTCTTCCAGGATAGACCGCAGTTTCCACCTCGCATCGGTCATATCAACACCCTCAGCGGGAGTTGGGTTAAAACGGTTCATATTACTGATTTACTGATAGTCAAGAAAACAATACTTAATTCAAAAAATATAGTATAATAGTTGATTGTCGTAGCATATATACGTTTGCTTCATCGACACTTCCACCACAAGAATATGATATGGCAAAAAGACCTGGCCTTCCTTGAAAAATCATATTTACCCTGTGACCTAAAAGGCGCTCGTGGAAGTGTAGCCAAGTGGTTAGCGTGTCAAGCTCCCATCCTGCACTGTCGCAGTTCGACTCCCGCTGAGGTTGTTGATAAGACCGATGCGAGGTCGAAATGGCAGTCCACCCTGGATGAGAATAAGTTTGGAGAAAGCAAGGCTATGTGAAATTCAATGGAAACGTCAGCTCAACTCATATCATTGTAGAAAGTTTTTCTTCTACCAGTCCTTCATTACCTTAAGTGAAATTCGGTGAATACATCTCATATTACTGATTTACTGGTAGTCACGAAAACAATACTTAAATTATCACTAGGTTATTAGTAAGACTTAGCATCAAACGTACAAAATAAAACTGATGAAAATAATTTCCTAAATATATTTTTCAGAACTATCTCATCAAATATAATGCATTCATACATGCAATTAATCAATCTCACTAAAGAGATAAAGCACTTTTAGCAATTCTCATGAAATAATGTGCGAATCACTAATGCCAGAGAATCCTGATATAACCTTGTTTTTAAATATTGTAGTAACTTAAAGGTTGCATAATATATCAATATATCTCACAAAATTATAAAAGCGTATGGTCTAAGTTTGTTTAGTTTTATGCTCTTTTTAAATTTCACATTTTCACCAATCACCGATCAGCCTACCCACCTTTATTCAGCGATTATATGACGATTGGTCCGTTTCTGGCGCATGGTTTGTTTAGGCCCGCGCTCGCTTATCCTTGCCTTTGTATTTACTAAACTCTTTACGCGTTGATCAGGCTCATGTCAGTCCTAAGCAAATGATTGGGAGCGATCAAGAGGTGTCATATGATTCAAATGCGACTTCAAATAAAAATACAAACTCTAGCATAGATGCTTTAGACATTTACTCGGATTCAAATGTCTCCCACGATATACGGTCACCCAAACGCCCTGCTTCTTTAGAATTGCGCAATATCGCTTTCGCTCAAGTTTCAGGTTCTGTGATGAGAAGTCTTATTTCACACGAGAGTGTGTCCCCATGGACGTTGAAAACAACTGAAAGTGCGGAATTTGACAAACTTCTTGGACAGTTGGGGAATAATGGATCGACTACCGTTACCCCTACAAGTTTCCTGAATCCAAACAACATAACAGAAGATCAAGAATCTTTTGCAGAGTACGCACGATACTTATATATTAATTTTGCTCTCAACGCTTTGTAAACATGGTCCTTTTTTCTAGCAAATTCACTAAAAGGCTCGATAAACTCAAGGAAGAACGCGAAGGTTGGATTCCAAATCTTGCAAGTGAATGCTCTAAGGTCGATCCTGTGGTAGTAGGCGATCTTTCACGTTACAATGACCAAAGCGAAAATAATTCACATATGCCTATCTCTCCCATGCATCACATTATGTATGAAGGTGATGAGACCGACAAACGAATTGCTCTCGCTCAATCAAAGTAAGTTACCTTGCCACACCTCCGGGCGTGGTTTATTTAATTATTTTATTTCGGCCCATGGGGTTTGTCTAGGAGGCTTAAACCACTACCCGCTTTGACTTCCGTTGCCAAAACGCTTCATCGCAATGGGACTAGTTGCGGGTTATCAATATCGAGCAATATTGCGGCAAATTCAGTCCAGCTTTATTCTAGTGGAGATTCGCCTGGGGTTTGTAGCACTCATAGTGGACCGATACTTTCTAATTCTTCCGCTTCTTCAGGTAGCCCTCCATCTGGACTGATTGGCCAGCATTCCATGTAGGTTTCTTGCCAATGACCATTACAACTTTTCGATTTTTCATTGTAACTAATTTCTATCCACCTTTCAGTTCAGGTATTCCTCTACATTATATCACAACAAATCTACTTTCGAGCGATACCACTATAAGTGAAGTTGAAAATAATAATATTTTGACGGTACTCTCATCAGCACCTAATGATTCCATTAATACCGCAATTTTCGTCCCAGCAATTAACGCAACAAGCAGCATTTTTTCTTCTTTATCGACCAATTCTGTCTGTGGTGCTCTTTCCCCAATAATCTCTACCGATGTTTCCAGCACGAATCTACATTCAAATGTGCCTAGAGTCTATGGTGATGTGCAATTGGGATGTTCAATGGATACGCTCCCTCAGCTTGTACACGCTTCTTTGCCCTTTCAGAACGTTCGTCATTTTGTTTCAGCCGCTTCAGATGGGCGTATCCTTCAACAATTGAACACTTCTGGAATGTCACCTACAAGCCAACAACATTTGACAGTTCTTCCTCCATCATCTGCATTGTTAGCTTCCGTAGCTGCTGCCTCGAATAACATCGGGGGACTAACTACTCTGGGGCTAGGCGGCCTCAGTAATGCTCTTAATGCGGCTGCTACCGTTGTGGGCAATTCAAGTATCGACGCCAACGCAGAGGCGACCTTGACTCAAGATGAGTGTACTTTATCGGATTCTGAGCGCCAGCAACATTCACTCATTCAGCAATACCAAAATCAGATCATCCTCAGCGATGAAAATGGCTCAGTGAGTTTTCAAATTGATTCTTTCGGCAGACTTGGGTCGCTAAGAGGTTCTATATCTTGATTAATTTCGTCTATTGATTTATTACGGTTCTGATACCCTTAAAATAACGAGGAATAAATGGAATTAATCGGGGCCTCATGGCGATGCGTTGAGGACTTTTATGCACGAGTCAACGTAGAAATTTTAATTCGGTATCAGATAGTTACCTTTTACTTCGAAATTAAGAATTGTAACCTCTGCCCTATTTATGTTAAACGTTTTCTGACACCACAATATTTAATTTTCGATCTTTACATCCGATGCTTCAATCGATCACTGAATTCAACAGACTTAGTCTGTCTTATTATTTTTAGCTGGTTGACAGAACCTTCATAGTTAATTATTCGTAAGTCAAAATCCGTCATACACCTGCTTTATTCTTATCCGAGTTAGTTACACAGTCAATGAGCCTAATCATGCGATGTGCATGCTTGTTCTTTTAAGACTTCATAAATTGTAATTCTCTTGCTATTTTTAAAATAGGCTCATCTATTAGTAAATACAGATGGTATTCCAGCTGATCAGACCCAAATAGGTGCAAATCGATTTGGCGTCATTAATCCTCAAGTGCTGCAGCCAGCAAGGCCAATATCATTGCCTCCTCTGAACCCTCGGGTCATGACTGTTCAGCACGTTGCCGACCAACAGCCATGCACGTTTCCAAATCCCTCTGCATTAGATAGACATGGATTGCCTGGGACTCCTGCTTCCCTAAACTCGGATATCCAGCAGGAATCAACCCAAGTGCCGGTACATGATCATTTATCATACTTTACAATTTAAAATGCCATATTACCCTTTGCTTGGATGTTTATCTACAACACTACATATGTGCTTTCTTTTTACAAGCTCCAAATTCATTTCGATCTTCTTAAATCATTTTAGTTTCATAATTAACATTGCCTTTATTTTATTTCTATATTTTTTCATCGCACGCTTAGTTAGATTTTTGCATTGCAATTCAAATCATATTCATTTTCTTATTTGCATGAATTAGGTCGACCCTAATAGACCTCGTCCACAGATTGTAGATTCTACGAAATCTTCAAAAAGTGGCTCTGTTTGTGGTAGGTCGCTGGGCGGTCGTAGACGTGGTGCTGCCACGGCTGCTGCCGCAGCCGAATTGATGCGTCAAACAAATGGCATGAAGCCCCTGCCTCCCTTGCATGCAAGCTGCACTTCATCTCCCTCGGCACCATCCAATCTAATCACTGGATCCTCACTACTTTCGGCATGCGCGTCCCTTCAGCCTGCTCAACTGCAAAATACTGCTCTACCCCCACCCAATGTTGTTCTTCCTTGTGCCTCTAGTCTACCCGGTTCTCCTCTGGGCCCCACTTGCATAAAAAAATCCCGTTCTGGTGTCGGTGAGGCTGGTTCCTCTGGCCGAGGAAAGTCGGCCGCTGTCTCTCCAAGTACGGGCGGAACCAAATTATCTTCGCATCTTTTTGGCTCTGTAACTGGTGGTAGAAAAAAGTCCCCAGTTGCATCCCAACCTTGTCTTATGGGTACTCGAGTTGACACCGAAGTTGCTATCTGCCATGACGAGATCTCGGATCCTCGAGGAAGTGAAATCGACATGTTAGTGATACAGAGAGATTCTGGGGGGAATCATATCTGTGGAGGCGATGTGGATGATCTGGATGGGACCAGCGATGTTGATGACGATAATCTCTCTATCCCTGGATTCGCTGATATGCCCAGCTCTCCGTCTAAGCAAAAACAATGGAAATTGGAGCGCAAGCGAGCACGTAACCGTATCGCCGCCAGACGGTGTCGAGAACGTAAAGTCAGCCTAATACAATCTCTCGAAGCTAAATTGGCTGATCGTGATGCCGAGATTCGTCGGCTTCAAGCCCAGCTTGAGCGTTATCGGATGGAGGGGCAACATCTAATGAGAAGCATGGAAGTTCTTGCTGCTACCTATCCTTCACTTCGAGACGAACTCCCGGGCCTCTTGCGCAGCATTCCGGAAGCCGTGATAGTTTGCACGGCTGCGCCCAATTCTCTTGGTGCACTCACCGTTTCTGATTCCATGCCGCCGCCCGCAATTCCCGCTTCACCCCCACATTCTCCGCTTCCAGTTTCTGTTGTACAGATCACACCATCGACGGTTTCATCTACAAGAAGTGGCATTGATTCTAATGCCATTGGAGCATTGACATCTCCATCTTTATCTTCCATCCGATTCCCTGTCACCACTACTCTCCCACCTTTATCTACCGCTATTGGTACAGAAATGCATTTATCTGGCCTTCCCACGTTCACTGGTTCTGGTCAGGGAATTACTACATATTTAAAAGCAGAGTGACATTTCACGTTAACAAAGCTCCAGTTTCCATGGTTCTTTTGGCGTCCTGTAATTACAATGGAATTTATTTTTCGGCTAGGTCTAATTATGATTCGCCTTGAATTATGTAGATATATATATATTTTTTTTATAGACAAGCCTATTATCTTGCCCATCAAGTCCGTCATTCTCATTCTGTGCCGATCTATTTAAAATATACAATGGTTGATGCGAGATCTCATGTCCAGAGTAGATGTCATTCCATATGCATTCAGATTACTCTGGTGAGGCTCTATCCTTCCGCAGTTTCCTAATAGAATAAAATGGAGTGACCAGCTGATAAATCATCTTCAAATCTTTCATTTTTATATCTGTTTTTCCTAGCAGCAATTAAACTTATATCGGGATTTTTAATATTAAAGATTTGCATTCATGCTGACCGCTTTTGTACCTTGAGTATAAATCAGTAATTTTCGTGCGCCAACTTTATAAACTCGAGTTATTTACCTTGAACACTAGTTTTATATTATCTTTTGATTGCTATTTTTAAATGCATTCACTTTTTCTCCTACACTTCTTTTTATCTAAGCCTTAAGGATAATCAATCCCGGTTTTAAGTCGTTTTCACAAATTGAATTATCTTGAACTATTCTTTTAACCGACTATTGCCTTCTTAGAGATGGGACCAAGCCTGCCACTCCTTTTTTCGGTCTGTCCCCTCAGGTACCCTTAATATGTCACTCAGCTATCATTTCCCCCTACTCTTGAGCACCATGCATGAGTCGTCTATTGTGCATTTCTATATTGGCTTTTTAATGATCTTTCTATTATATTTTATACGTAAGTTATATTTATAGACAACTACCTACGTATTTATATTCGTATTAACATCTACAACATAAAACAAAACGAAATTGATCATCATACTCATTGGTTGTTTTGTACTTTAATATTGATGTACTTAATTGCCCCAGTACATTAGGTATACTCATTCAGTTTATCTCTTGTATCATTACGATGATTGCAATTTACGATGTCCCGATGTACATATGAGTGAGATTGTATTGAAAGTACAACTTTCAGCCCATTAGCCTTTTTAAAAACCTTCTCTGGCGTTCACTTTATAATTTAGTGAAATTGACATGGTGGCATTTTTCTGTGCCCAGCTCAGGCACATTTCAACTTGGGCTCGCTCACATTTCGAAAATTTGCTGATCCAGGCTAATGTGGCATCAAGTACCAGCTGTAAAACAGTACGTGAACGCTCTTAAATTAAGAAATTTATTTTTTTTACTTCGTTTTCTCTCTAAAGGAATCAAGCAATGCTATTAAACAAATAATTGCCACAACTATTTACTAATCATTATGGTTCAAATAGCATCAATTCCCACGGGTTGATGAATTAATTTTCCAATAAGCTGATAAAATGGTGTCTGTACCTTACCCACAATATCAACTGGAATGCAACTTAAATTTGAAATGTTTACCCTACTGTCATTAAGTATGAAAAATTGGATCTGAGCTCGACCTGACCTTGAATAGCGCCTACAACTAGCAAAGAATATACACTACTATAAGTAATATATAATGTTTGTGTGAAAAGGCATCATTTATGAATTAGTTTTGGTAAAGAAGTTTGACCTTGTTTTCGCAACTTGGTCATATTGGTAGGACTTAGAGGAACGCATCTAGTCCTGAGTCCATTGTATGCATTATCATTTCCAGGGTAGGACAATGAACGTGGTACATTCCCAGACATTTTGCCGGCATCGTCAGTGAGTCCGCCATTCGTAGCAACATATTACAACTCGTCAGAGACAGGTGAAGCTGATCCTTTGACCAAACAGTTGTGGTATCTCCCCTTCTGCTTTGGGCTATTTACATTTCCTATATACTCCTATCATGCCTTCCCTATAACAATTGTTACCGTGCTTATTTTGTTAACGTAGTTTGGTGTGCTCCTTCGAGCGACATTCATGAAAACCCTTCACACTCCACACTGTCGCTGGGAATGTTGACCATGGTCTGTCATATTGTCACGTAGTCCTTCCCTGGGTCCTATCAAAGTCTCCCTCTTGCCCCGTAGAATCCGTCTGCCTGGTACATGTATTTCATTCGATGTCGGTCGCATGACGGGCAATAGTTCAGTACGAATGGATCGGTGTTACAGGAAGTTGAGTTGACGTCTAAGCACAATCCAATAATCAGAAGACCAAGGTTGCCCTCCTTCGGTATCCTTCTCCAAGACAGCCTTTGACTTTATCACTGAGACAGTAATTTCGAAAAGTTTGAACTTTGCTTTGCCAAAAATTGACATAATTGGGAGGAGATTCTAGTGGACTCATAAGTTTAACCGAAGAAACTAGGGGTGATATTGAGTTACAGGTTGTTCCTTTAATTGACAGCCATGTAGAAATAACACCCAGGAGCAAGATAATGAAAAACATAAGGAAACAGTATGATGAGAACGAAATGGTGCTGCGGGCAGACAAAAGAGGAGCAGTGGTAATTATGGATAGGTTGAGCTATGTAGAAAATATGATTCAGTCTTTGGATGACACTACCACATACAAGGTAATCATTAGGGACCCTACAGGAACCCTTAAGTCTAGACTTAAGGGTTGCCTGCAGCATTGTGTGACAAACGGGGAACTGGATAAGTGGAAGATGAATACGCTTCTTCAACGAGATGTTAGGCCCCCGAATGCATATGGTCTGCCCAAAATATATGAAGTGTCATTTACAATTATTGTCAATAATAAGGGAGGCGTGATTTATGAAATATCACAATTCATTTGTAACCGGTTAAAGCAAGTCTCCGAGACGTGGAAGGTTTCAGTCAATAATTCTTATGAATTCATTAACTTAGTCGACGAGCAGGAGATAGAAAGTGCTAAGTTTTTATGCAGAATCTATATACACTAACAGCCCTGTAGATGATACCATACAGGCCATACAATCCACACTAGATCAACGTGCGTATATCTTGATGACCACAAAGTTAAGTAAAGGGTCAATAATAATACTGACAAACTTAGCGATGTAATGTACATATTTTACCTTTAATGGTAAACTGTACGAACAAACATGAGGCTCAGCTATGGGATCGTGTTTGCCACCAATTTTAGCAAATAATTACATATCTCAATTTGAGAAACGTCTAATTCAGGAGGCACTTTTAGTTCCCAAATAATTAGTTCGCTATATGGACGACTACTTTGCTTGATAAACAGGCTCAATGGGAAGACGAAATTCAGCATCGGGTTTGAAAAGGAAGGTGGTTTATCTTTTCTTCATGTCCTAGTTAGCAAAGAGGGGAGCAGATTAGGTAGATACATGTATAAGTGATTGTTCTTAAATGATGGTTTATGACTCTGACAATGTCAGTCGCATGACGGGTGACGGCCTCAGCGAGCCGAGGCCTTAACACAATCAAGCAATCATAAGTCCATGGTAGCCCTCCTTTGGTATCCGGTGTCGCCAACTTGCTAATTATTTCCACCTTCCTTTTCAAACCAAATGAAAAATATGTCAACATTAAGTATGCTTCGATCGCTAATTTCTTAGCCATCAAGAGTTGTTAGCCGATTTCACATTGTTTCTTATTGGGCTGATGACAAATCTGTCCATGCTGAACTAAGAAGACCTAAAATTAAAATTTAGTTTCGTCCGTGGCAGTTTCAACCTCTCAGCTCTCCCAATGGGTGTTTGGTTCATTGGACTATACTGTAAAATTACTCAATGGACCAAGCAAACCTCTCTCACAACGAACACTTTTTTGGAATTTCGTGTCAATATACGATTGTATGCTTGCTATAAATTAGGCCATACAATTATTGATTGTAGACACTATCTCGAGGCCATTACCGAAACCTTTCAAAGGTTAACTTCTGAAGACCTCAGCTGTCATTGGCTCTGGTGATGTTTGCTTGAGTGTATTTTTGTTTATTCAGCTCCTTTCTTCACTGTAGGCAAGTTTCCACTAGAGTTTCACCGTACTATGTTCACAAAAATTACGCTTTCATCAGAGAATGATTGCAGTTTTGATCATTTATAGAAATCACCTGTATCTAATGGAGAAGTTGAGCCCAGGACTGGTAAATCTGGAGGCAGATGATGTATCCCATGGAATCGGGATTTTGTTCTAGATATATGTATTTTTGGTGAGTATGCCGACTGCAATGAAAGCAATATTTTGGGGATTGGACCCTGCCAGCGTCGCGATGCTGTTTAACCAAACATCATTATGAGTGAAGAACATTATACCTAGCGAGTACCTAGTGGCGTATTTGTACATACGACGACGGCGCGAAAACCCGGCCAAATATTTAATTTTAGATATATTCACCCAATTTCGCTTAAGATCATAAAGGACTGGTAGAAGAAGAATTTTCCCACAATGACATGAGTTGAGTTGACGTTTCCATTGAATTTCACAAAGCTTTGCTTTCCAAAAAGTTGTTCCCATCCAGTGTGGACTGCAGTTTCGATTTCGCATCGGTCTTTTCAACACCCTCAGCGGGAGTCGAACCGCGACAATGTAGGGTGGAGGCTTGACATGCTAACCGCTCGGATATACTGCTACTAGCGCCTTTTGGGTCACAGATAAAATGTGAATTTTCAAGGAAGGCTAGGCCTTTTTGTTATATCATATTTTTTGGTGGGATTGTCGATAAAGCAAACGTATGTTTTGCTATAACAATTCACTACTATACTTTATTTTTCAAATTAAGTATTGTTTTTATGACTACCAGTAAATCAGTAATATGAAATGTATTGGTGTTGATAAAACTGATGCGAGGTCGAAACTGCAATCCACCCTGGATGAAAACAACTTTTGGGAAAGTAAGGCTATGTGAAATTTAATGGAAACGTCAGCTCAACTCATATCATTGTGGGAAAATTCTCCTTCTAGCAGTCCTTCATCACCTCAAACGAAATTGGGTGAATACATCTCATATTACTGATTTACTGGTAATCACGAAAACAATACTTAATTCAAAAAACAAATATTAATTGTC